GTGGGTTCGTGAATTGCTCTCTTACGGCCATTTTTCCTCTTGCTCACAAAGTTTAGTAATGTTTTGCTAGAGTTCCTGACCCTGCTTTTCACGCCACTCATCTCATTCCTTGGAGAAGATATACTGGGTTGATTAACATCTTCAATGTTTATTCCATTTTCATCAGTTATGTTTTTTATGGTCCCACTTTTGAGACCAAGAAGTGTATTTAAATCCACTATTGTTGCCCCTGTATCCTGTACAACTCCTTCACATTCAAAACTATCTTCAACCTGAAGGAACGAATTTATTCCCTTGTAAGTATTTGATTGGGATTAAACCATTGTAAGTTTTCAAACAAATAAAATTTTAATTTTTAAACAAAGATGGAAGAGTGATGATTTTATTGCCTTGAGAAACAAGCGAGATGAATACCTGCAGTTTTAGTGGGCTTGAAAGAAGTTCGGGGGAGCAAGGTCTTTGTGTCCATTCAAACATCTCACTATCGAAAAAATGAGTATTCTTTGCTATGTCACCGGGGGCTACGCTCTGTGCAGTAGTAAAATAAGAAACACATTAAGAATTTGAATTCCAGAACAGCTCAAGAGTTCAAACTTAAAATTTCAACATATTAAGTAAAATGAAATGGCATGTAACATTTGAAGATCGCAAGACACAACTTTCATAAGAAGCTAAGTATAACATATAGCATAAGATCCAATTAATGTTAGCGCCCCCTTAGAATAAATTCAAAGAGGAATTTTCAACCATAGAGTATATAATCTAATATTTAAACTTTACAAACCTTTCCTAGGCCACAACCAGAAGCTTGTGCTTTTGGTTGAGTTGGTTCCTTGACATGGTATCAAAACTTGAGCTTTTGGCTTAATTGGTTCCTTAACATGGAATGGGAGCCTTGTTGACCAAGAGGTCACGAGTTCGAAACTCAGCCCACTGAGTTTTAAAAACTTAATGTTCATGTGTAAGGCTCGAACAAAAAAAAATCCCGTCTGCACATGAGAGGGCGTGTTAGAATATAAAAACTTTTCTTGGGCTACAACCACAAGCTTGAGCTTTTGGTTGAATCGGTTCCTTGACAGTAATAAAAGATCTACTTCTTGGGTTTCAACATGTCCAATAACAAGAGTAAATACAAGTCATCAGGCTACTCATTTTTTAGGGAAGGACCGTGATGTATTGTAGCTTCTACTAAGTCCAATGTAAACCATAGCATACCTTGTTTGGATCCTGATCTAAATGGTGAATAAAATTTACTTACTTTTGGAGACATCTCAAGAGGATTTTCATCATCAGAGTCCTTCATATCACTAAAACAAGGAATGTCACTAGGTGTATCTGTGGGATTATCCCTGTCTGATTCAGCCGACTGCTGAGTTGACTTCTCTGTATCTTCTCTCAACCAGAAAAATGGACAAATGTTCAGCTCTCCCCTCTCGTTTAAGACCCTCTTGCCTTTGTTTACGAGAGGACTATTATGGGGTTCAGTGACTGTGACTTCACCAGTTTCAACAACCAATTTTGTTGGTGGGGGACTTTCTAAATGGTAATGTTGTTGGACTTGAACCCTTTTCTTGGTTGGAAATGAAGCTCTAAGAAAACTTGAAGTGTGACTTTCATTCATGGTCTTTTGTGATGCATTCTCATATTCTGCAAATTCAATGGTTTTTGGGCTGTCGGATTTGTTTTCATCACCTGAAATTATAAAACTTATGAATTAGACTGAGCGTTGGTTATTTAGCATTATAACAAAATTAACAACCAGAGCATGCTAGAAATTTAACCCTTAGGTTAAACCTACAGAAACAATAAATGGTATAACATGACTAGCTAGCTGTCTAGCTGCATCTTAGTCCATTGCGAATGAAGCTAAAAGGCATATTTTTCACAATGTTTTAGCTTCGGGTAAAGAATGGACTAAATCAAAATGGCACATTAAACTTCTCTTGTTTCTGACTTTCTATGAAGTGGGAAGTAAATACATTAATGCATTAAGGGCCTTGTAGAAACAGCCTCTTTTTTTTCAAGAGTTTGTGCACATCTCCTGATGGAATTGAGATTATACTAGGTTTGTTGTTGATGATTACTAGTTGCAACTAACTAGATAAATGCAGGCAGTAACAAAAACTATATGACTTAATGATGCAACTGTGATGGAGCCACTGAAAACTATTTAATGTTATTCTATGAGATATCCAATCACCTATTGTTTTAGTTGATGTTTCGGTTTGAGTAACAAATATGTTCACTCCTGATGCAGCTTCCAGACTCTTGTAAATGTTGACCAGGTTATCCATTTGAGGAGCAGGGCGGATTTCTGCAATACAAAAGCATCACACACCTCGTGAACTTCTAATTACTGAGGAAGTCCATAAAAATAACAACATTACCCCAATGCCTCAGTCACTCCCGCCCATTGCGGGGTAAGGGGAGCCAGATGTATGCAACCTCTATGTTTAAAACATAACGGCTGTTTCCAGATGACCCATAAGGAGCATTGGAAGTTGAGACTATCTGCTACTTTTCTATTGAAAGAAGCACAAACAATTTTTTGTGTGCTGTGGAAGTGCATTTACACAATTGATATTCAACATCCATAACCCTTTAGTGAAGAGAGTAAACATAGTGTTTGAACAAGCACAAATGACAAGAGGTTATGGTCTGATGTACTTTGGGATCAAAGCAATTTTAATCAAGAAGATCTAGCAAAATAGAAATACCCTTGGTTATGTTTCAAAATTCATTTGATTCAACGAAAAACCCTACATCATCATCACACTAAAGTATATAGAGGGACGAACCTCGGGGCCGGAAAGGAACTTTACAAACTGGACAATTGGCTGCAGACTTCATTGATGCGTGGATACATGAACTGAAATATAAAACAGCATATTGGATGGAATTCAAAACCCAGAACCCGTAATCATAGAGTGCGCATAAAATTTGAGAGAGTGGCAGCCATACTTGCAGAAAACATGATTACACGTGAGTGAAGCGGCTGAATTCAACAGACTTAAGCTGCGGAAAATACAAAAAAAAAACAAATATTATAAACTGATTATATCCAAACAATCGCAGTATCCAACGAAACTACTTCATTGAGATCCCATTGACAGTAAATCTGTACGTATCCGAGTAATTCAAGTGAATATTGCCCTAACTTGGAGGAAGAATTGAAATTTTATAACTGGATCAGAAAGCACCCGAAGCTAAAGATGGCGTTGGAACTGTGAAATGTCAAAACCTGAAATCGATCCATTTAGATAAGAAATTACCAGATGGGGCACTTGAGCTCTCGTCCCATCCTCTCTAAATGTGCGGCATCTGCCATGATCTCTCTCTCGTACTCGAAGACGATCTTCTTCTTGCTCCACCGAGGAAGCGGCGGCGATTGACTGCGAAAATTACCTCGAATAGAGAGAATCGGGTGAAGAAGCTGAAAATCGGAGGGAAATAGTTTGATATCGGGTTGGCGGGATTTTCAATTTTTTCCATTTTTTTTAATTTTAGCGCGTTCTTCTTTCATACTCTAGCGACTTCGATTGGCTGTACTCTGTAGTATCTTTTTTCTTTTTTTTTTCTCCAAGAATAAAAAAGTTTAATTATTAATCATAGTTTTAAAAACCGGACCGGACCGGCCGGTTCGGATCGGGAACCGGTGAACCGGACACCAAACCGGTCCGGTCCGGGCAACAAGACCATATCTGCATTGAACCGTTGAAAACCGGATGAAACCGGATAAAACCGGCCGATTTTACCGCCGGAACCGGGTTTCAAATTCTTTTGAGAAGGTTTTCAAAAACACACCTCCTGGATTCGAACACACGACCACACAGCTGAAAGGAGCCTTCACAAAATATACTATATAGTTTTTTAACTAAAAATCAAATCACTTTTTATTTTTTAATTTTTTAAATAAGTAAATTTTATTTTTTATTTAATGACACAACTCAAGTAAATTAAATTAAATTATAAATCTAGTCAAACATCAATTCTTTATTTATAAATAGGGGAACTATATTATTTTATTTACTCATATACTCTGTATTAGTTTTTTTAAAGTCAATGAAAAGTTTGTGTATGTCTCTCTCTCTCTATANAGCCTTCACAAAATATACTATATAGTTTTTTAACTAAAAATCAAATCACTTTTTATTTTTTAATTTTTTAAATAAGTAAATTTTATTTTTTATTTAATGACACAACTCAAGTAAATTAAATTAAATTATAAATCTAGTCAAACATCAATTCTTTATTTATAAATAGGGGAACTATATTATTTTATTTACTCATATACTCTGTATTAGTTTTTTTAAAGTCAATGAAAAGTTTGTGTATGTCTCTCTCTCTCTATATATATATATATATATAATGTTTGAACCACTGGTTCAACCACTTGAACCACTAGTTCGACCAGTAAACCACTGAACCAGTGCCTTGACCGGTTCGATGACCGGTTCGGTTCTGAAAACTATGTTATTAATCTCTCATCCCCAAATTTTTTTTGTCTGAAAGGCCGTGCTTGGGAACCGAAGGCCCCAGGTTGTATACCCCATATTTGATCTGAGTTAAGGTATTGGGTCAAAGGTAGAGTGTAACTTGAGGGGTATACTAAAGATTTTTTTATTTTGAATTGAAATAGGGAGTAAAATTTTTCTTTTTTTTATTTATGGTGCGTTTGGATGGTAGAATTTTCTCTCAAATCCATCCCGAATCGATTTAAATTGGAGAGTGACGTGACAAATAAAATTTGTTTTGCTTCATCCCGTTGTTTGGTTTATACAAATAAATATATTCCGTATGAATATACTTGTTTATTAAGATAACAAAAAGGAGCATCGTGTCGTGTAGGTTCGTGGGACTAACACATCCCACTTTTTATTTATTTCGGGACACTAAAATGTCTATAATTTCGGGACACTAACAAAAATTTGTTTGAATAAAGTTACTCTTTTTGTTTTATTTCTTTATCTTCAAGGCGAGATTTTTGCACTATTTATCCCTACTCTTCATAAAGTGAATATTTTCCGCTTGAACTTTTAGAAACACACCATTAGTTCCTATATTTTTAATAAATTTTGTATTTTACCCCTGGATTTTTTAAACAATACATGTTTTTCCCCTGAATTTTCAAAAGTACATTATTAGGGCACCAAAAATACTAGTAACTCCCTGAGCTTTATCTGATGTTTAACGCAGTTAGGGCGTTAAACACCGCCCCATACCTTGTTATCGGGGCATAATGTGCAATGCGTCAAAGTTTAACGTGATCAATCGCCCGTATTTGACGATTGGATTAATAATATTGCACCCGACTCATCTTTTGAGCTTAGAGAAATGATTTAAAAGTGTGGATATTATATTATCGAAGAAATGTATCCAAATTAATCCACAATTGTCAAATCCTTCTCGGAATCAATCAATCTTAAACGTCACACCTACAAAAAAGCTCATGAGGCGGCGAGAAAGACATCAAACAAGTTTTCGGGTGTTGAAGGGTAAGTGACACATTATAGATCATCCATCCATATGTTATTCTCAAACAAAAATGATGAATATCATGTACGCATGTATTATTCTTCATAATATATATGATAATAAAAGACAATGAGTTTGTAAATTGTCATTACAACCCGGGCGATGAAGTGACTACGTACAAAGAAAACGATGAAGAAAAGAAACAAAGAAACTACCAAGAAATTCAAAAGCCGAGAGATTCCTAATGCATTAACGACGAATTTGATTGAATGTATTTCTAGTAACTCAAATAATCATTAATTTCTTCTTAATGTAATATAATTTTTAATTTTTTATTTATGTTGTTATTATTAAAATCTTTTTTATTAATGTACAACCTTTGTCCTGAAGTATTTGTCTAGTTTTGATTTTTTTCAGTCAATCATTTGCAGGATTCGTCTGACACTTTTGCAAAACCGAGCCACTCAAATTGCAAAGTGACGTTTTTGTTTTTGGCAAATTATTTGTGTTCATACACAGATTATTTGATGTGCTTTCAGGAATCTGAGTGTCCTCAATTGATGTGTCTTCAAACTTTTCTGCAATATCATCCTCCGGTGTTTCCTCAGAAAATGTCACCTGTTTCTTATGCTTTGATTTCTCTTTACACTTGAATTTACTCCTTATCTTTGAACCACGGTTCATAAGTTCCTTGTTATCAATTATAGGTTCCAATGTATTCAGTGAAGAGGAATTCAAAGCCACATCTCCAATTGGAAGAGTTTTGTCCTTAGGAATTCTCTTTCCCCGTTTTGACGTATGGCATGCTGTACGT